GTCTTGAACACAACACTGGTGGAGAAGATTGCTAAGCAGGCGATGACGAACTCGTCTTGGAGCGCCGCCAGGCCACTGCAGGGCTGCAGTTGTTTCAGACTCGCAGAACAAGAGGCGGTCCGGTCCTGACCTCAGCGCCAGAGACGCACACTTGGAGCAAAATGTCCTCCAGCTGCGCGATGAGGAAGGTTAAACGCTGTCCGCCAGGCTGATTGATTTTGCTCTAAAAGGAAGCCATTAGCGTTTTAGTGAATTACAGCCGGAGCGGATTAGTTGGACCGAGGCTGGATTTGTTTTATTTCACACTGGATGGATCGAGTTTGTGGCAAAAGGTTCAGGTGACGTCCAACAGTTGTCTCGGACTGTTAATTATCTGCTTAGTGTTTCCGCCCAGTGAAAAGGATGGAAATCTTATTTTAGTGTGAGAAAATCAAACTATTTTGAATGCTTGAATAACAGATAAATAAAATAATTGTGTTACCAAAGCACACACATCATTTACAATACAGCCTTGAACAAAAGAGTGACAGGATGTAAATAGTTCAACTTTCTTTGCAACAATCACATTGCATTAGCTTGAAGGGACTAGTGTGTTAGTGTGAAAAGGCTTTATAGAGTTCCTTAAAGAAACATGTTGACAGCTAGGCTACTGAAGTGAAATTAACACAAAAACACAGATGGAACATGCGAATAGAAGGACTTTTAGCTGCTTCCATTCACAGCTGCAGTGTACACTGGTGACGAAGACAAAGGTGTTAGAAATTAATGTGCTTTTAAAACCTTGGACAGGGTGCCAATCTGATAGGTATCCATGGTAATTCTCCACTATTTTCCTGACTTCTGAACAATTTATTTTCACACTGATGCTGGAAACTTTGCTGTCACTCCTGTCTTCTCAGCTGGCCGTTGCGACAGATTTCGGACTTGCAAACATAAAGTTGTCGATATTTGGTTGCCTCATGCGGGTTTTTCTTTCTTCTCGACTTTAACTTTCAGTAAAAGTGCTAACTGATGCCCTTTGGTGTCTTTCACTCACATAAATTAGACTTGACGTTAATGATTTTGTCCACTTGTTAGCAGAGTTCTACGACATAGATGACTGTTCAAACCAATCATTTGACAAGGTCCAGTCCATTTTAATTGGCCTAAAATGTGGTTTGAGGTCCGATAAAGGAGCGGGTTTTGGTTTTGTCCTGTGAATTCCTCCGTCTCTGCCAGCTGCCGTCGCCAGTGAATCGTCTTGACAGAAGCTGCCCGGTCCGCCGTGCGGCTCCACAGAGGATTTTCCTCTCCGTTCAGCCTCGGAGCCGCTCCTCGGATAGCAGCAGTTAAGTTTCTGTTACCTAGCAACACACAGTCCAGCACTTGCATTTATTTCACACTGTTGCAAAGAGACGGTGGACAACATCAGAGCTGTCAGCGAGCGAGGAGGGGGCAGCGGGAGGCTGGGAGGGAATCTCCCACCTTACAAAACTGGTCAAGTATTCACAGCGCCGCCGTGAACAACACCAATGCTTCCTGTTCCTTTTTTGCACTTTTCTTTTCAGATATCGAGTAAAGTACCCAAGATATATATATATTTTAAAAATCCCATCATTCGTCATTTCAGAGTGTTCTCTTGTCGTCCTGCTCCCTGATGTAACTCGCCATGACTGTCTTCAGCGCGCGCGTGAAAACAACATGACACGTTCTCTTCGCTGACGTCAGCGACTGAAACCCTTCAGCCTCCTCTTCCTCCCCCGATATGCATCCAGAGAGACGGAAAAAAAAAAGACCTAATCAATAACTCGAGCCATCCGGCCACTTATCTTTTCATTAGTGTTGGTCCTGCTCATTCATTAACCGTCTCTTCGCTCCTTTTAACCTTTTTTTTTCATTCTTTGTTTGTTTTCTTATTATAAATATCCCCCCGAGCTCCCCTTCTTTCTACCCCAAGTAAATAAATGTTCTCCTATTTTACCTTCTTTTTATGTTATCTCCCCTCACTCACTCAACAAATTACGCTCAAAAACATTAGCGGGACTTTATTTATGCTTTACTGTGGTGACTAGAAAGGAAAGCCTATAACAATTAATCAGTGATTTAACTCTTTTTAATCCCTTGTAGTTTTATAAAATACATTATTCCCTTCTTCCCTGCACCTCGTCTGTCCAGGTGGTTCGGGATCAGATCTCCCATTGCACGGTGAAGCTGCGTCAGACAACAGGACTCATGGAGTACTGCCTGGAAGTCATCAAGGAGAACGATCCCAGTGGCTTCCTGCAGGTGAAAGGACTTCTGGGAAATTTCAAAGTAAAGATCGAGAGGGGTGGAGGGCTTCATTTTGTGTTGTCAGCGATTCACCGGTGTCCCGTTTCAGATCTCGGACGCTTTGATCCGGAGGGTCCACATGACCGAGAGCCAGTGGGGGAAGGGAACCCTGACCCCGAGGATGACCAGTGACTTTGACCTCACCCTGGACAGCGGGCCGCTCCTGCAAACCATCCACCAGCTGGACTTTGTACAGATGAAAGGTGAAGGAGGGGACGGCTCTGAAAGACTCACCGATTCTCCTGTTAAATCTTCCTCGAACAAAAAGCAAGGCTTCCGCATCAACCACGTTATCAAAATATGAACCCTCAGATATTTAGGCATGTAGCGCGGCGTACTTCCTGGAATCTGGAGTGTCCTTTATCCGTGGCAGCAGCATCCTCTTGAGTCTGGAGTTAAAGAAAGCTTGTTTTTTTGAGCATGACCTGTTTAGCTCTCACACAGAAACCGCACCTCAAACTGGTTTCACGTTCAGGACTACGCAGAAAACGTCGGATGTTTCTGATCATTTTGGCATCCCTACATTTAGTCGAAACCTCTCGAAAAGTCTACAGACGTTATTCATGGAAGCTGTTGATTTATGTATCATAAAGAGGTGAAAACCGCGGAGCGGCACTTGGATGTGGAGCAGGGCTGTGCGTGGTGGATGTCTTTTCATATCTCAGACTGTAATCTGTCCTGTTTTTTTCTCTCTCTCCTCAGTCCCAGCTGCTCCCATCCTCCAGCTAGAAGAATGCTGTACCCAGAACAACAGCGCCACATTGTCATGGAAACAGCCGCCGCTCTCCACCATCGCCGTCGAGGGCTACATCCTGGAGCTGGACGATGGGAACGGAGGCCCGTTCAGGGTAGGGAGCTAACGCGGCGTTGATGCTCTTTTTTTTTTTTTTATGGAAGATGAGATGAGATCCTCTGCAGAACGGAGGATGTGACGGCAATGAGCTGAAATTTATGGAGTTAACAGTAAGAACAAAACCCTTCGTCCCAAACCTGTGGCACGGCGTTTATAGTAGTGAATGAGCTACTACCAGGAGAACACACTGCAAAAAAACATACAAAAAAAAAACAATATCTTACCAAGTTTTTTTTTTCTTTTTCCATTTCTAGTGCAAAAATCTAATAATTATGAGACACTAACCTCTAAGTAAATTTTCAGCGATATACAGCTCTGGAAAAACTGAAGAGGCCACTTCAAATTATCAGTTTCTCTCATTTTACATTTTATAGCTACATGTCTGAGTAAAATGAACATTTATTCTATGAACTACATGCCTCCAAAATCCCCAGCAAAAATGTAGTACTTATTTGTGCAGCGCTGTCAGACCTCAAATAATGCAAAGGAAACGAGTTCATATTCATTTACAACAATACTGATGTTTTAACTCAGAAATCAATATTTGGTGGCACAGCCATCGGGTTTTCAGTGGGACTCAGTGCAGTTGTCTTTTATTTAATTGTTTTTCCAGATCTGTATAGCAGCTTGTTTTAAGTAAATACTTCTTTCATATTTTTTTCTTTTTTAAAGAAGTACTATTTCCACTGGCAAATTATTTCACATATAACACGGGGAAAATGTCTCACTGTAAGTGAAATGATCTTCCAGTTGGAGTTGTACTTTTTCATCAATTACTTACCTAAAACTGGCTCCTGTGTCTTGTTGAAAAGTTACTCCTGTGTTTCGTTTTGTCTTATTCCGAGCGTGCTGAGATACAAACTGGACCTAAAGCGCTTGGTGAGACATTGTGTGTTTTGAAACGCAGCTGCCAGCCGGGACGATTCTGCATGAAGTGCGATCTGGGATCAAAGTGGTCTCCAGACCCACACAGAGACTCGCCCTGTAATCCATCCCTCCCTTCGGTTCCCCCACCCCCACTGCTCCCTCGCTCCGCACCGGATCTTTGCTCGGCTTTGTCAGGACAGCAACCTGTCCCTACTGAACTGTTCCCTCCTGTACAAAAGCTGTGGATATCCATATCTGTTAACATTTTGCCCCCCAGCCTAGGATTTGAGTGATCCGTTATTAGAGCGCTGTGAAAGCTCAACGAGTGAGGTCTATTGTTCTATATTCTGGTGCGGTGGGGAAGGAGGGGATGTAGTTTTATTTCTTAAATGCAGAAGAAGAAAATACCCCGAGGCAGACTTCTCAGGCTCAGCCCCAGAGTGAGAGAGAAGGTACGAAAACAAAAGGATATTCTGAAGTGCATTTAAGTGTATGAATCGCTCAGCCTTCAAGATATTTGGCTTTTCAGACTTGGTTTATTTTGCTAAAACACAGCAAAGGTTATATTTCTCTACTATTATACAGCAGAGGAAACAAGTGTTCATTTGTAAAAAAAATGGAACATTTTAAAGGGGCATATAAAATCAAAAAATATTTGATCTTTACATCATGTTCTGAAGTTATTCCCTCATCAAAAACACACCTGGAGTGTTTGCCTTGATTCTAATCTCCATGGCAACCATTCAGCTGTGCAAAACCCCTGGGTGGACTGAGCTCCGCCTCCGAGACGCAGCTCGGTTTCCAAGCCTCTGGTTTTTGGCCTCATAGAGCAGCCTCCCTGCAGATCCCTTCTCTCAGCTCCTTCAGACTAGCCAGTAGCAATTAGCAAACACCTGGTGGAACTGAGTGACCGCTGAGCTCATTATAGGAGCTGATTTTCAGTGAAACACTGGTAAAATCGTTGTTAATGGGTTAATAGAGGAGCCATGTTGTGATGACTTCCTGAGTTTCAGAAACTGCAAGACTTTCTTAAAGAGACAGAGGCCCTATTTCAAAGTGTTAAATTATGAAGTCAAATTTCTTTTAAGTCGCATTTGATGCATGCAACATTTTTCTAACACTTGAAGCTAACACAGTTGCTTGATTGTGCTACAAAACAGAACTATGCGTCTTGAAAACACATAAATACTGCCCCTTTAATACAGTGCAAGAGTGAATGACTCCTGCTGCAGTATCCAGTTCTGAATCAAGTGTATCCAGTAACTAATAACCGGTGCTACAGCTGGGAAATATTTCTACATTCGTGGTGTTTGTGTTTCGCAGCACAATATCTTAAGATTCAATTTTGCAGCTCCTCTGTAAATTGGAAATAATTTCCACACGTGTTTCCATTGCATCATTTCAACTCCCACGCCGTACGAAGCGACATTTCACCAGAAAACTATGCACTAGATAACGAGGGAAGTTTTCTCCCCCCATCCTCTACTCTCTGACTCACTGAGTCCAACCAACGCAGCCTCCCGCTGAGCGTGGCGACACGCATCTACCCCCCCGCCACCAAAGCCCGCCGACGTCTATTTATACACCGGCAAGCCCACGCCCCGCTCCGCTGTACAAGTTCCGCCGTCACTTACCGCCTCCTCCATCAAATCCAGCAGGGACCCCTCCGTTCAGTGTCATAATTACGCACAGGATGCATTTGACTGGCCTAACGGGAAGCTGGTGTGTGTGTGTGTGTGTTTTGCAGGAGGTGTACGTGGGGACGGAAACCATCTGCACGGTGGACGGGCTCCACTTCAACAGCACGTACAAGTCCAGAGTGAAGGCGTTCAACTCCAGCGGAGTGGGCCAGTACAGCAAGACGCTGATCATGCAGACCTCTCAGAGTAAGTGGAGCATCGCCGCCACCTCCTCCTGCTCAGTGGATGGGATTTAGAAAAAGCTAAGCTGTGGCACTTCCCAGAGATTATTACACCAGTTAGTGCCATGCAGAGGTTTGATAGTTATTTTAATCGATTTCAGTTAAATAGACTTTTTTGAGTTTTACGTCACGTTATTCACGCATCAAAAGCGTACCTGGAGTGTTGCTGTGATTCTTTCCTGCATATTTGAGAAATCCTTTAATCTCCCGTTGCAACCATTCAGCTGTGCAAAATGTCTGGGTGGACCTAGCTCCGCCTTCAAGACGCAGCTCCTCCTCCTCTGTAGTTTCCAAGCCTCCAAGCTTCGGCCTCACAGAGCCGCCTCTCTCACTGGGCTCCTTCAGACTAGCCAGCAGCAAGTAGCAAACACCTGGTCGGACTGAGCATCTGCTGAGATTGTTATAGGAGCTACCTTAGAGTGAAACGCTGGTAAAAACGTCGCTAAAGGGTTAATAAAGGAGCCATATTGTGATGACTTCCTGAAGGCGGAGTTTCAAAGAGCAGAAGTTTCTTAAAGAGACAGAGACCCAATTTCAAGGCGTTAACTTACGAAGTTAAATTTTGTAGTCATATTTGATATATAAAGCATTTTTATCATGCATGAAGGTAGCATAGATACTTGATTGTGCTAAAAAATGAAAGCACATAATGCTGCCCCTTTAATCCAACGAATTATAGATTTATTTTATGATGTTTAAATTTTTATTTAAAATCCAAATGCACTTGTGCTGTGCATAATCATTTATTTAATGGACATGCCTAGTCCTTTTGTAAGCGAGCAATTAAATTTGTAAGTGCGATTAATCTCAATTAATCACAACTAATCATTCTGACAGCCCAGCCTTACGCAACGCTAATCCATTTATTCAGAGGACCCCGGATTGTCAGCCGTCAGCGTTTGGGATTAAAGTTCCTCTCTCCGGAAAAGTTTGACTCCGGAGAGAGCCAAGAAAGTAGATCCGTTACCGACTGTCCTCAAGCGAGCCCAACTCCCAGGCCGCCCTCTCTTGTTGGCTATGAAGCAAACTGATTAGTTTTTGGGAAAGTAGAGCCACTTGATAATCTGTGCAAACTGCATAAAAGCCATTGTTAAGTTCACAAAAGAAGCCGTGTTATAGTCTTTACACAATATGTCCACCAGAAAGCTCACGCAGTTAAACTTATACCTTAATTTTTAAAGGAATCGGTGCGATGAATCATCACTTTGCCTCACAGGAGGAAATTAAAGCCAGATTGTATCTGAAAGGCCTGCTGTGGGCTAAAGTAAAAAGTCTTTTATGTTTTACCTATGTTCTGGAGAATGGCAACAAATTTCATTATTATGGGAGTTATAGGAGGCTTTTCATCTTTAAACACTATAATTGATATTATATTTATCCAAACAAAGCAACTACAATGTTGTCTGCAGTAGGATTTTATTTAACAGTGTTATGGTTCTTTGTTCAGGGCGTCACTGTGTTAGGGGGCAGTGGAAGGGATTGAGAGGGAAAAAGAAAGATTTCACTGTAAGAAAGACGAGTGTACATTTGTTTTCTAAATGAATTATATCATATTCCTATTTGGTAACGATTTGAAGGATCGTTTCACTGTTTTAAAGGCAAGGAACTGCATCATTAATCAAAATCTAAAATACCTCGAGTAGCTTGATGAGGTTATTCTAGTCTAAACAATTTTGTGAATTAAATTACATTTTTGATTCCTTACAAAAGAAGAACTCTTGACCCTTAACCAATAGAAACCATAACATAGCTACACTAACATTTTTGTGTTGTCTGGATAAACGTTACAAAACAAAATAAATGCGCGCTTCACTGAATTAACTGTTGTTATATTCTAATAAGCAGTCTTAGGTTTATGAAACCTGAAATTGCTTTGTTTTGTTTTTGAGAGCATCTTTACATTTTTCATTCCATAGAAACAACCTCAGATCGTTACAACTCAAATATTCCTGCCGCTGTAGATTCTTGCGTTTCTTTGTGTGTGTTAGCAATAAGGCTGTGATTGGATCCTTAGGACATTAGCATGCATGCATTTTATTGCGACAACAGCAGCAGTTTATCCGAACTAGAGTCGACTAAACAATATTTTTTGTGTCATTACAATCGTATCTTGACTCCATAAAGTCTATAGAAGAAATAGTGAAGCTTAAAGACTGAAATCTTGCAGTTTTCTAAAGGGATGTTCAGATATTTGGTGTCACTTTCAGCTGATTTCTGTTTTAATGCAATACAGTAACTTAATTCTTCGACGCGTCCACTGCAAGATTTCAGTCTGATTTGAATACTGCATAGGAATATGTTTAAGCCTTTAAACCCGTGACGTCCAGCATCATCTGCTCGGCGTGTAATCCACTCGTGTTCTCGCTTTGCCATTAGTTAAATGCCACTCTGCACGGTGCGTCATCCGTCTGTGGACCTGAAAAACCTCAGACAGCTTCCAGAACGAGCTCTCAGCACCTCTGTAGTCTAACCCTGCAGACACATTCAGCTTCTTTGTTGTTGTTTTTTCTTGCAGCCATCAACCTGAGCAGACTAACTTTTGATTTTGTTGGTTTTTATGAAATAAAAAAAAATAAAAAAAACATTCTCTTTATTTTCATTGTATGCTCTTCAATGTTTCTCCTTTTCCTGATTCTTTGGTTGATTTTTGAGGAAATCCTCTGCTCTTTGACCGCCGACGGTGAACCAGCTTCCCTGATCAAATCTGCTTTTGTATCTTCTCCGGTCTCCCTCCCCAAGTCCCCTCCATGCTGTCTGCGCCGCTGCTTCGCTCGGCTCTTCCTCCCTCCTCCCCCCTGCTTTTTTTCTTGTTCTTACTCTCTCTCTCCCCCCTTCACGTCACATTTCAGCTGGACTCCCTCCATGCGATATTCAGTCTATAGGCACAGGTATGGACGGCTGTCACGGCCGACTGCTTCCGCTCTAATCCTCCCCGGGCCTCTGCCTGTTTCATCAGTGAGGTCGTCACTCTCCGACCAGCAGGGGGGCAGTTTGCTGCTCTGTGGGCTCCACATATTAAACATTTAATACGGTCCCCCTAATAAATGTCTGTCTTATTTCCTTTGAGAAATCAAACCGGGGTAATGGAACGAAGCCACTCGTGGGGATGCTGAGAGCTGTAGACGTTCAGGACCGGTGGAGCCCATAGAAACGACAAAAGCCCGCCTGCTCTGCTCCATGTTTTCCTGTGTAGACGATGAAGATGTGATGTTGCCGTTTTCAGGCCTGAATCAAGCAGTTTTTGCAATCTTAGCTGTTAGGACGTTGGGTAACCTATGTGGGACCGTAATTACTGGTGGTTCCTGTGTTTGCTTAACTTAATCCACCATTTTTATTGAAATCTATTGGGTATCCCTGCATTAAAGGAGAAAAAATTGAAAGCATTTGCTTGTAGATGGGCCATGTGTAATCTGGTGAGGAAAAAAAATGCAGATTATGTTCACCGAAAGATGTGTAATTTCATCAGTGACTAGCTAGTCGCTATATGTTACAATGTCAAAGCAGTAAATGACTTTAAAACGCTGAAATTATTCAAAAAAATTATTTTGTACATCCTTTACAATAATCACAATATTGTTCAATTCCTATCATAGTTTATCTGTCATAAGTATTTGAAGTGAAGTTCTGTTGTAAGGTTATAAGGATTTAATATCTTGCCTACAGTAGATTAATCTCTCTAAGTTCAGAGCAAATTTGGATTTGATGATCTCGGGGCTAAAGCTAACCGCTAATCAAAACTATTCCAAGACCACAAAACATAACAGCAGTTCATGGAAACAATGTTTTATGAAGCTTTAAATCCTGTTCATGTTTTCATTAGGCCGTTATTTACATAAAAGTCGATGTCATTAAATGACAGGAAACATTTCCTGTTTTCGGTTCTCGTTTCCATCAGGAAGATCATTGATGGTGCACTGCCTCCAAGCAACTAATCTGGATTAGGAATTGGGAAAATTAGTTAACAGCTGCTGATGAGATACGAGCCCTAAATCCCAACAACAGAACTTCACATAAATATGTTTTTTTTGTAAGCTACTAACTATATTTAAGTATTTACCAGTTAAGATTTCCAGACTGTTTGACTCAGATATGATTTAAGACGGTAATCATAACTTATAGAGTTTGTAACAAGCTATAGAGTTTAACTATAAGGATTATTAACCTAATACAATCATAATCTTTCATAAAGATGTTTTTACAGTGTAGCATCTCCTCATTTACCCACCACCCTCCTGATTCATGTCACGTTTGTCAAAGCGCCGTCATTGCGCCGCCTCGGTTTGCTCAGTGATGTGATTGACAGCGAGGCGCTCTCCCTGTGTGCCGCGCAGTTGCCTGGTTCACCTTCGACCCTGCGTCCGCTCACCCCGACATCGTCTTCTCCAACGACAACCTGACGGTGTCGTGCAACAGCTACGACGACCGGGTGGTCTTGGGCAGCGCCGCCTTCTCCCGCGGCGTCCACTACTGGGAAATGACAGTGGACCGCTATGACAACCACCCCGACCCGGCCTTCGGCATCTGTCGGGGCGACGTCCTGAAGGACGTGATGCTGGGGAAGGACGACAAGGCCTGGGCCATGTACGTGGACAACAACCGCTCCTGGTTCATGCACAACAACTCTCACACCAACAGGTAAGCAACGGAAATATCCAGAAGTTGCCGCGACACGGATTACACGTCTGATTCAATTCATGTGACGGTGGCGCAGGACGGATGGTGGCGTCGCCAAAGGATCGACGATAGGAGTGTTGCTGGACTTTACACGTGGGATCCTCATCTTCCTCATCAACGATGAGCAGCAGGGTCCTGTTGCCTTCGAGAGCTTGGAAGGCGCTTATTACCCCGCCATCAGCCTCAACCGTAACGTCCAGGTGGGAAACCACGCTTCACTTTACTAGAGCTAAACGCTAATTAAAATCAGGTCTACAGTTCAAGGCGCAAATTTTTTTTATTTTTTTGGATCGTTTATCATTTATCGTGTTAAATTTCTTATCACGATAAGAATTTTTGATTTATCGTCGTTGCGATAAATTCGAAATGATGTTTCAAATCCCCCAAAACTGTCTGTATTCATTTTAATATCTCCATTTTAAATGTTAGATGACCTTTAGAGAGGAAAAAAAAGAAGGCAACTTATAATTTTGATGAGCATTAACTACAGGAAATGTGTTGCCATTCTTATATGAACACTATTTTATTTGCATTTTAAGGTCTAAAAGTAAAGTAAAGGATGAAACTTTTGCAAAAACAGGACAAATGCATTAGACACAATTTTCAACCTAGTGGTATTACATTTTAGTGAGACTGTTTTAGAAAGTCAATGCTATTGAATATAACTATAACTGCTAAAACCTGCATTTGGTATCACATGTACATTTCAAAACATCAGCTGGTTTATGTTCTTCAGAGCCACTTGCGGCCCTGGAAGTTTCTAAATCTTCAGTGAAGCTTCTCCTCTCGAGAACGAAGCTCAACAGCTCCACCTGCAGGGCAAATCTTGCCTCAACCATCCTCTGTATGAATATTTGTTTGTAAACGTTTTGTTTTTCTTCAGGTCACTCTTCACACTGGGCTACCCATCCCTGACTTCTACACACCCGGGGAGGCAGACCCAACGAGCTCCGTGTGCTGAAGCCAGCGCCGACCCCCTTCCCCGCCCCGTCGTAGGTCAATACCTCTAACCCGCCCTCGCCCTCCTGATCTCGACTCGCCGTCTGTCGCCCCGACCTAACGACCCCCGTGACACGCCGTCGGAGGCCTCATGACAGCCCTAAGCCATGCCTTTTTCATGCCTAAGCTTTGGAGGCGGCCATGTGCAGGACAGCGCATGTGGTGCCTACGACTCGGGACGTTTCACCGCAACGTCCAGAGGATCAGCAACGAAAGCACTGAAGTGAAGGAGTTCTTTTACATTTCAGAAAATATGACACATTGAGTCAAGACTAGGCATGGGCTGGTGAGAAACTCTCAAGGAACGTATAAAACAGATGCTTTTTTTTTTGTTCGTATCATTTTGTAAATTTATATTTCAGGATTTTTAGATGGGCGTCAACATTTATTTTCCCATTCATCTCCTCTCAAAATGCACATGTACATGAAATATTCCCAAATGTTCAATTCAAACTCAAAAAATACTCCCAAAGTGTTGTAACTCAAATTATTCTTGTTATTATTCAGATTATTATGGATTATTACTGAGTTTTTCCCTTTGGTTTTCCAGCCACGTGTCTCCAAAATTTAATCTCAGACTTTTCAGTTACTTTAGCAGCTGATAAGTCCAAGTAGGTTCTGTCTAAATAGGAAAACATCTATCAAGATAATCAGGATTTGCTGTAATAACAAAACTCTTGTTTGACATATCGGGACAAAAAACTGTGACAGAACCTTACAGAACATAGAATATGCTGATAAACACCAAAAGAACAAAATTCAGACATTGGTGGAATGAAAAATATGACAGAAAGTCTAATATCCCAACATTCCCTAAATTTTGTGATATTAGCATCAAGAGAATTGGCTTATGAAGCAACAAATTGCACTGTTCTACTTTTTCAACACTGGGAGTATAACAAGCAGTTGAGCTATCTGCTCATGTAGCAGCCACCTGCTCAACAGAAAAGCAAGCATAAGAAGGATGAGTGCTTGTCCTTTACTGTCCAGGCCTTAAGTATCTAATTATTTCCAAAGAGCTGCTTTTTTGAACCTGATTTCTTGTTACTGGTAACCAGCCCATGCCTACAGTCGAGAGTTGGGCTACCTTCACATTGCAGGTATAAATGCTCAGTTCAGAGGGTTAGGGTTTGTTCCTTGGTGTGTTGTTGTTATTACTATACTATGATTGAGAACGCTCTGCGGCACGCGCAGAAGAAGACATGATGTCGCAAGCAGCCCATTGTTTGCAGAAGCAGATGCGGATGCTGCGAACGTCATCACACCTCAGTTCTGACGCGGCGCAATTGAAGCTGCCAGAAATGACGATTAGCTCCGTTGACAGTGTCTGCCGTGCTTTTTTTTTTTTTTTTTTTTTTCCCCCCCAACTGTTTACATTCGGTCATGCCGCTTTCCGCCTCATTTGGCGCAAAATTGTACCTCGTCTCCGTGACTTTTCAATGCGACACGTCTGTTCAGACCGAGATCGCTTTCGAGAACATCATCCGATTTGGGACGTGGAAATCGGGAATTGTGCTGTGCAGACTGTGACACTTCTTACGTAAATATGGAGATACTTTTCTGAGTTTGGACCGCATTTGAAAGTAAAATCGTATTTTTGCTGCTCAGATTCATCTTAAGAAAAAAAATAATCAGATAGGGTTCACGTCTCCGTCTGCAGTGTAAACACAGATCACTACGACGCTACAGCTCAGATCACAAGAAACAAATGCTTGGCAGAATGTCCAACTCTTCTTAAATGAAGGAGTTTTTTGTTTTTTTATGAATTCGTTAGACAAAGATCTTGTATTAACCTTTGCTTTTTTCTTACAGCTCAATATATTGCATTCTTCATGCCTCTTTGTCAGGTTTCCATCTTGAAGACTGTTGTGGATTCAAAACTCTTGAGTCGAGAATGAGAAGTCCTACTTTGTGACTGTGTGTGTGTGTGGGGGGGGGGGGGGGGGCGCCCGGCCATTCTTCCTGGACCAGAGTCCAGCTCAAAGTCATATCAGTGTCATTACCTTCGTTTGTGTAAGTGGGAAGCTTTTCTTAGTGGTTTGGCTCAAGTGAAACTTCTGTGTTGTGTTTTTTTTTTTTTAATTATTTTTAATATTTACAGCATCGAAGTTTAGGATGCAACAGGAAGGAAGACCTTTATTTTTTCTTTTGCAGTGGCGCTTTCAAAACAGGGGAGGGACTTTGCTTGAATCCATCTCAAAGGCGGGGGATTTTAAACGACTGTGAAGACGTTCTTATAAGGTGCTAAAGCAGTTCACATAGTTTGGGCTTTTTTTTTTCTTTTTTTACTGTGAGTGACTGAATTCTGGTAGTTTTTGTAATATTGTTATTGAAATGATCTATTGCGAAGAGGTGTAAAGTTAAATAAGTTATTGGTGTTAAGAGATTTTTAGTGAGAATTTTATCCTCGTTCCCCTTTTCGCCGATGTACAGTTACAGCCAAGGGGACGAACGGCGCTTCTCTGCTTTAAACGTTTTATTAGACGTCAGCGGGGGGATTTTTGGAGGGGAAATTAGAGGCTTTTTCAGTTTACATGTCTACAAAAGCAACAAGACAGGAGACACTGGAATGGCTTTTGTTTTGGGGTTTCTTTTGGCTAACATTCTTTTCAGTACTTACTGACTAAAACGCTTGGTGGTTCAGTGCTAAAGCGTGCAAACGTGACAAAAACTGTGCCAACAATGACTTTCCACGTTTATGAGAGCTGAAAAAAAAAAAAAAGTGTCTCGCACAATTTTACTAAGCACTAGTGGCCTCATTGTCATGCTAACAGTTGCTAATTAGCACCAAACACAACTGATGAACACAGACCATAAGGCACCAGACAAAGCGAGTGCTGTCTGACGTAGTAAGAATTAGCTTCATTCTGCTCCACGTGACGACAGAACAACCTGAACCATCCAACTGTAAAATCCTGCGACCCAGGCGACCGTTGTGCAACATGTTAGCGTGCTAGCACGCAGGTTTATAACGCCTCAGTTTTTCAAGTTGCAGTTAAAACTACCAACCTCTACGTGCATTTTCAATACAGGTTTCAGTCTGAAAGGATGGCTGTCTGAAAAAGGCAACTCGATGTTCCTTTTTAACGTAGGATTGTAATTAACAGTACATATTGTAATATATACAGAGTATAATATACTCTTGTGTTTTACAGTAGCCCGGAATGGCTTGACCAAAAAACAAAGAAGTCTTAAGAAAAGGTCTTTCAGGAAGAAGAATGTTAAATTTTGAGTTTGTTGCAATCTTTAACCTCGTCACTAGGTGTCACTAAACCTATTTGATTGCTCCTTTAATCCTCCAATTTTGCTCCTTGCTCCTTTAATCCTGCTGAATTGATGGTGAAAACTTTCTATTCCTTCTGGAAAAGCAGATCTAGCGGCAATATCTGCTTCAAGTTAAAAGAAAAAAAAAGTAAGTCATTAATTAAACATTTTTGGGCAGGAAATAAAACCAAATTAAATATTGCACCAGATTTTTTTAAATTAAACATTGAATTTGTAGCTTGACTCCTCAAAAATGTCCTGCGTTCTTCACCCAATTTTTTTATTTTTTTTATTTAACAGAATCTTGAAAAACTGAGATGTTTTGCAACTTTTGATGAGAAGTAAAAACCTCCATCGCATGAGTCTGATCGACGCTCCGTCAGGTTGGCCTGAGCCAGCTGTAGGTCTGCTGACTGCTGAGTTCACAGAGGATTAACGTCTGTATGTAAAATATAGTCTGGTAAAATAAATGCTGACAGAAGGAGCTGAAATCCTAATGCTGAATGGCCACATTAGGGGAAACGTTACCGTTTCAGGTTCAAAAGTTGTTTTCCAGATTGTTGTAGCCCAACGGACGAATGGTGCCAAAGTATTCATTCCTCTTGAGCTCTTTCGCACTTTGTCACATTACAACCTCAAACTTTGAGATATTTTATTAAGGATATTATGTGAGATTCCAATACTAAGTAGCGCATAGTTGTAAGTGGAAGGAAAAAGAAACGCAGATTTAAGAATTATATTAAAATAAAAATACATATTGTAGTGGGGGCATGCATATTTTTGCTGACATTACATCTGTAAGTGTTTTGTCTTCAATATCTTGTCACAGTTTGGCTGATATCAAGATGAAAAGGGGCTGAATATTTAATATAAACGCACCTATTTTGACCCACCACCTGAAATTGCCATAGCACAAATATACGTTAGCGGTTGTAATGCGCCTAAAACATGGAAAAAAGTCGCAAAGGTGCGTGAATATTCTAAGGCACTTGTCTGGCATACACATGAGGTGCTATCCTGTGTTAGAACTTCACGGGTGTGCCTTTTTCCCCATTTGTATTACCACCCCAAGCCCCAAAAAAACATGTGTGAAACTTTGCTACAGACGAAATCAATTGCTTCAGCAGAGTCAACTGTAACATCTGTGATGCCTGACCTCATCTGCTGCTACGTGCTTTTTTTTTTCTATCGTAAAAGGGCGAATTTTTACCATCCGAAACCCTTTGGACGTACTGTAACTATCACGATCTTTAAAGGAATATTACACGTTTTTTTTTTATATAAAGCAACTAAAGCCATGGTAGACCATACGATGATACTGAAACATCAGCACACAGTAAGCATAATAACTCCTCAGTTTGTGTGTGTGTCTGTGTTTATTGACCGAGAAAGTTCAGCAAGTTACACCACGTTCAGGGTGCTTTGCAAGAATTAACTGGTTGGTTCTTAAAGTATAACTTTGATTTAGCCCTCATACACTTGCATAAAGCCACAATAAATTCCTGATGTAACATCAGAATTCAAGATAAATGTTTGTTTTGGGGTTTTTTTCCAAGGAAGTCCTCGGTGGAAACATCGGCACAGATCTAATAAACATGACCTGAAGGTGTGCTTCTGAACCGAACAAAAGGAAACGGGGGTTTTACTCAGTGTGAATGTAACACGGTTTCTTTAAGAAAAAAACAAAAGTTTAACACAGTTTAAGCAAACTACGGGGACGCAGATTCATATCACAACCAGTCGCTGGGCGACACTCGGTGTTATATCTCCAAATGTATATACATATTTTTTTGTGTGTGTGAGACTGTGTGTTATACATTCATCATATCTCCAGAGGGATTTTTCTTTTTCTTTTTTTTTTGTGCCCAGTCTGATCTGAGGTGGATCGTCATGTTCAGTTTTAGTCACAGTGAGCCTGAAATTTCTCTTTGTGAGAATCTGACAAATTGAAAAATGAAATTGTCCTTATTATAATTTCCAGACAATATGGTTATCGATTGTCACAGTTTCATGTCTATTACCACATCTTACCACTTATACGATTATTTGAAGTATTTAACAAGCCTCTGTATTTCTCGTATCTGTGAATCTTCAATAAAATCGGTGTCAACAACGGCTTGTCTCGATTATTTCTTTATTGCTGTCTGATAAAAGCTGCTTATGCTTTTACTGAAGCAAGTTGCATGTGGAAAATCGGCAGGGCCCGATGAACGAAAGACATCCTGCTAGCAATGTTTCACACGTTTACGTGGAGAAGGGCTGGAGCAGATGGCAGCAGTAACCCAGTCAAACACGCACAGACGCCAGAGGAGACGGACTGCAAACGACGGTAAAGACGGTTAAAAAATGTCTCTGAAAGCCAAAGAGAATTTAGTTGTGGAGCCCATGGAAGAACACAACGAGCCATTTTTGTTATCAATGAAAAACACATTTTAAGTATTTGTGATGACTTCCACGGAACGAGCTCGGTTTCCACAGTGATAGTGGGACAGGAAAGCCTTTCTCCTGGCAGCTACTGGCATCAACATAGCATCCATTGTTGCTATGGAGATTTGATGGCTCCCCCCTCTCCCCCAAGTTGCTACGCTTTGCTGCTGCTCTGACTGTGTGTGTGTGTGTGTGTGTGTGTGTGATGAGGTACATGAGTCTTCATCCAGCTCAAAGTTATTGTAGTTGACTAAAAAATTTTAATTGAAATACATAAAAACAATAAAACTATAACTAAATGGAACTATACTGTGCATTTATAACATAGATAGATAGATTTAATTTAAGTACATTTACTTGAATTGAGCTGACGTCATGCACCTGTAATTATTGGGTAACACTTTATTTGAAGGGGGGTGATTAAGACCAGGAGTGAAAGTAGGGGGTACGGTAGGGTATTGCGTACCCCTAAAAGATTTAGCGGGGGTACGCAGTACCTGCAAAAAAGGGGAGCGGCCGTCTGCTGTAAAGAATGAATGGATTCACTGTGCATCTGTAAGTGCATCACTAATCAGCCGTGATTGATTAGTTTTTCAAGAACAATCCAAAACATGACTTAATCGGTTAATAAATAGCTTTTCCTCCCCCATTTCATATTGTTTCTGAACTGTTCTTTGTTAGAGCAGGGATACGTCGACCGCGGAAGGTCAAACTGAACGCCGCCGGGACGCTGAGACCAGCACGTCCTCCTCTGACTCCTTGTCAAAACGTTCATAACTTTATTAAAGAACAACAACAACAAAAAGTCAACAAAACGTTTTCAAATTAATGACCCAACAATAATAATCTCAGTGATTATTGTTTCAACAAGGTGTTGCGCAATTTTGTGCATTTCGGTTCCATTATCAAATAGCAGAGCAGGAGTTTAAAATTAACTAATCAACCACCGCTGTGTTCATGAGAGGCTTACTAATAATCACAAAATAAATATCAAGCCTGAAAACCTGATATCGTAACGGACTAAATGTTTTAAACGTAATCTGAGCGGTTGCCACGGCAACGGGTGTGCTTAAACACAAAGAGAGAGAGAGAGAGAGAGAGAAAAAGGTGCAAGTAGTTCTGAGTTGATCACCTGTTCAGTTATTTTACCTTTGTTTACCTTTGCTGTGGCTCATTACAGCCACTGTAGTTCCTGAAGGTTCAATAAACGACTAATTATCTCGTTCTTTGTGAGTATTACGTC